GTGATAGTGAATTTTAATCAGGGGAAAATAAAGATGCAAGAATAAATCTGCAGAGGCTTAGAGGAGGACTGGATGACTTTCTCAGCCATCAGCAATGGATGCAGGAGTGTGTTACATCCTAATCTGCTGTTTTCTGTTATCTTTACTTCTTGCATCATCCCATAGGTCCTGCCTTTTTAAGGGGGAAAAAAATCTAAGAAAACAAACCAAGAAAAGCTTCCCATATTGTCCTCTACAAAGTACAAAGGAAGCACAAATAAGAAATCATGAAAAAAAATCAAAAATTCATACTTCAATACAGCTGGCCCTGATTTTTCATCCCAGTATTATTCACTTGACTGATTGTAGAGTTACACATTCAAACTGAAAGCAGAAGACTCCACACTGTGTTTTGGTGCTCATATTTAGCTTATCAGAGCTTGGCAGCAGCCACCATCCCCCTGGTGATTCTCATCTGTGTCATGACTTGGGACGTGTGTAACCCTCACTAACACCCCTTTCAATGCCATCTCTGACACCATCTGTATTTTTGGATTGGTAAACTGGAAAGCCATTTCTAAAATGTGTTTTTAGTTATTACAAGATATACACACCCTCTTTCCACGCTTATTTATTTTTTTTTATAAACCAAGCATATTGTGGCAATTGTGAGGGAATTTGTATTCCCCACTGACATCTGAAATTCCATTTTCTGTATTTCATGGTGGTGATGGAGTCCAGCATTATGTCCCTGGGCCAAATTTCAGGGCTTGTTTTCTTTTGTTTTTTGAGTACTGGATGAAGAGATCATCGTCCAGATCCTCAGAGTAAAGCACAAGTGAAATATTTGCTTTATTTAGTCCTTTTTCTAAGCAGCTATGTGTTGGGGGTCCATGCGTTAACTGGTCTGTTCAGATACTGAATAAAATACAGAATGCCTTATCTTATGCTTTGCTCAATTTATTGTTCTGTGCCCACAGCCAAATTTGAGCTGTTCTGTCTGCTTTCCTCCCACCCTCCCCAGTTTGAACATTTTGAAGCTATTTAACCCACCTCAATTCCCAGGCAGTCACAGGGGTGGATGTAGGGATAGGAATATTTGCCCAGAACAGGTCATAATGCTGAAATTGCTCCTCCTGGGCTGATTTGCCAAGCATGAAAATCACTTTTTCTTTTTTTTTTTTTTTCCTGAAAAGCCAAACCATTAGCAGGCTGTTTGGATGGTGTGTGTGGTGGAAAAAGACATTTTGGAGAGAACATTTGAATTGGTACATCCGCCTGACACATGACGCGCTGCAAACAAGATGTTCCCAACTCCAGCAGCCAAGTTGGACGGGCCGGTTCAATAGGACTTGTGAAATTCCAATCATCTGCATGCAGAGCAGACACCAAGATTCCCTGCTTCCCAGGCTGGAGGCTGACCCCTCCTCTGAGTAAAAACTCCTACTCTTTCCTTGGATTTCACCTTGAGGTTGCAAAGTCAAGTTAAAACTGACTTTTAATTTTTGTTCCTACCAATGTGCCATAGAAAGGTCACATACTATTTCAGACAGGAATGCAAAGGGGTACAAGATTTTCCCTGCATAGGTAACTCATATGATTTACAGTGCTGAATTTAGCCTTTTTGGAGCCAAATCAAGGCAAAAAAGCAGCAGAGGAGATGTGGCCTAGAGGAGTTAATATTTTTTTTTTTGCTCTTTGTGTCTCTCCTTGCCAGGCTACTGCTTTGCTTTTGCTGCTGTAGGGGCCCAGAGAACAGGTTGCTTCAGAAACCATTGTCCGTGTCACATATGAGGAACAAAACCACATGCCAGCACTTCTAAACAGGGATTAGAGACTTTTCTAGAATCAGGGCAGCTGGTTTTGGTCTCATGCACTAGCGGGTCTCAATCCCAACTCCCATCTCATTTTGAAGATGGTAAATGAGATTTCTGTGTACTGCTCTGTAGAGGGGTGGGCAAGCACACACCATTTACTGGGAAGGCTTTGAAGGTTTTTTTCCCTTTTTGAAGGCTTGAAGTTTTGCCAATTTCTCCTGGCTCCAAGGAATACAACAGGACATGGTGCATATTGCAGTCAGCACTGTGAGCAGGCAGATCAGGCAGTGCTGTGCTCATGTCACAGCATAGATCTTATGCTGGGAGTTAATCCCAGAGGAGACAACAGGAGGAAGAAATAAAAAAAAATCCATGCATTCTTTTTCCAGTAACTGGTACTCAGACCACTCTGAATAAATCCAATGAAAGAAAATGCACATGAAACTGTGTTTTGGGCTCTTGCACCCAGAGGAAGCTGAGACTAACCAGAAATTATTGCAGCTCTCACTGTCCTGCTCCAGACAGACAGAACCAAAGATGGAGGCCTGATGAAATATTATATGTACACACTTCATATTGCCATTTATTTTACACCTCTGCTAGTTCTCTCAGCTTAGCTGGGTGAAGTCCAGCAAAATCCCGTCATGCTCCAACACAACCTCTCCCTCCTTTTAGGCTTCACCACCAGCCACAGCCTTGCCTGTTGCTATTATTGTACCTTTCCCTTCATTATTACCTTTATTCAGAGGTCAAGGGAAGGGCTTCCAGAGGGTTTGGGGAGCAGGGCAGAGGAGCCAGAGCTCAGCTGACTTGGGGATAACCAGCACCAAGGCTGCTCTGAGCCCCTGGGGATTATGAAGTCCCAATTAAAATATTCCCACCTGCTGTCTCCACAGGATCTGCACCCTTCAGTCTTTTCCTGGCTAATCAGGCCTCAAACTGTGATGGAGTCACAGAATAAATTACAGGAGTGCAGAAAGTAAACAAAATTGAGAATTTACCAGTGTAGGACCCTACTTTAGAGTTGGTGGTGGCATTTGTTACATCGACTCATTTGAGTCTGAGAGAATTGGTTTGTGCACCTAAAATAAACACAAAGAAATATTCATCTATTTCTTATAAATATTAGCTACAGCCTTCATTGGGGACACACTAAAACCAGGAACTTCAGAGGCCTCAAACAGGTTGGAAACCGGCCCACAGAAGAGGAACTAAAATTTATAAGGAAAGGTAGAAGTGGCATTGCAGCTCAGTAAGTCACAAGCCATATGAGCTATGAGATGACTTCTAGCTCTTTTTCTCTTCTTTCAGTGATCATTCTGCTCATATTACCTATTGCCTTTTCCCACCTCTTAACCTTCTTCATCTTGCAGTGGCGCTGCACAATGTCACATCTGTGCAGAGTTGCTGCTCTAATCATACACAGAAACTACACAGAAATGTCCAGACTTAATCACATCTTTGACCTACTCTGTGTCCATACAGCTCCAGTCTCCAGATTCACACACAAAGTTGGGAAACTTCAGGCATGCTGTAGGGAAAAAGTGTCTGGGAGGTATTTCTTTAACAGGTATGTAAAATTTTTTTTAAAGAAAACAGGATTCTTTGAGAGGGCAACATTGTCTCTTCCTTAAATCTTGACTTTAATGTCCTCTGTGTTTTCCTTTCACTTTGCACAAACCTGGCATCACCTGAGCTGTCTCACAGAGAAATCAGAAATAGTCTCATAGAGCTTAAAATAATTCCTAGAATAGCTCTTCTGGAGCACACACACTGTAATGGGGCTCTGCAAAAGCACTTCAGTGGCATTTGCTGGTGGTGAAGCCTCCCTGGCTCTGGTCTCTGCCCTGGAGCAGGGTGAGCCCCAGCCCAGGTGCCACTCCCAGCCCTGGGTTTGGGTGAACATCCACTCTGAACTTTTGGAGTGGAATAGAAACTCATCATTCTGGGCTGATAGTCCCAAATGACTTGAAAAATAAAATAAAATAAACTTGCAATAAGCCCCCTGTGCCAAGTCTCATACCACAGGCGAGGACGGAGGGTCTCAGTGCCCAGTCCTACACAGAGGCTCAGAAAATGGTCAGAGAATTTTAAACTCCTAAAATAGAAAGCTCAGTAAGGAAAAAAAACCTTAGTCATGTAAGCAGACTTTATACTTTGACTCTGAAGTGTTGTTTTTCCTTTTTCAATTCAGAACAAAGTAAGTTTTTTTAAAAAAAAATTACCAAGAATCTAAAGTGTACTTTAAAATATTATTACAGATATAGCATAATAATATCACAATTCATAGCCCCCAATCCTTGTAATTTACTCAAAAAATTATTAGGTTCAGGCAGCTTCATGTTTTGCAAAAAAGCTGAGGGGTATCTATGCAACTTTATATTTAAGTGATTTTATAATTTTGCCATCTACACTCCCAGATGTTTCCAATGTCTTACTGAAGTTTCTGCAAACCATCTGCAAACTTTTATACATCTGGATTCTCAATAAGGCAAAACCAGGCACTTACAGCAGCATTAAACACAAACATTTAGCACTGTGGCTCTTCAATATCTGCAGCAAACATTAATGGGGATATTTTTCCCCCACTTATAATTTTTAGCAGTTCAAATCACCATTTTTCACTATACAAATCAAAAAAACCCAAACATTAGTGCTGAAGGTTAAAAAAAGTAGCAACTTTTAAGTGCCAAACACATGCCTTAGGAGAGGCAACAAAGTGTGGAAGTTTCAACAACAACATGAAACAAGTCCCCCTTCCTTCCCCCAAGACTATTTTCCACTTCTTGATCAACTTTCATACTGTTTGTTTTTGCCTCTCTGGAGTTTCCCATTCATTTCCATGCAGAGCACAGCAAGGAAAGCACAGAGTTAACGCTGCTGTTGCAACTGGTGTGAGCCTTTACTATTAGCTTGAATTTACAGAGCAATCTCTCCTTAAAAAGAAATAAGAAAAAAAAAAAAAAAAAAGAATTCCTCACTGCTCACTGCACTGTAACACTGAGAAGTATATTTAAAAATTCTCTCCCGGGTCCCTCTAAACATCTGTTCAAAGGTTTTGCTGTGTCTTAAAAGGGCTCTAATTACCAGAAACTCCTTTCTTACTTAAGCCCAGGGCTCGCATTTCGATTATAACTCAAGCTCCAGTTAATTTAGGGCTAAACCCAAAATGCCTGTACCAAACAGAAGAAAACATAGGCCTACCTTAAAACTTTCCAGCTTTTCAGAGGATCCAAGTCAGAGATTATAGACACCATTGTAGGAATAGCAATAATAAAATATGTATATTAAAAATGAGAAAAAGAAAAAAGAAAAACCACGGCAGGGAAGGCTAACCACAAAAGCAGCAAGTACTCTACTCAGTGTGGGAATGACAACAAACCCAGCACAGCTCTTCCTCCTTCTCAAGCTGATAAGCACTTGTCCCAGCTTCTCTCCACCCCCAAAATCAATCTTGTGCTATATTGCTTCACAGTCCCAGTTTCATTTCTTCACCACTACCTTTTAAAGCCCTTGTAATCTGCTCCAACTGATCAAATTTGACCTTTTTGTAGTCCACTTTATTCCAAGCACAGCCCTCAGTTAAATCTCTCTTTATTAACACCGTCCTTCTTGGCTTTCTTTTGGAACAAACACAGCTCAAGCTCGAAGCCTCCAGTCTTTGCCAGCAATCATTTACAGATTACTGCAAGCTGCAGTCTTCTCCTTTTGGGTATTTTCTTCTGCCTTTGAGGTTCGTTTTTATATTATTTTCTGAGGGTTGTTGGTGGTCTCCCTTCCCCTGTTCTGTGCAGATTGGAGTTTGACACTTTTAAAGGAGGGACTTTCTAATGCAACTCCTCTCCCACCCTTCCCTCCTCCCCTTGTCCCTCACCCCCATATGGAGAGACAGACACACGCATTAAAAGCAGTTCACAACCTTTAGAATACAGAATAATCTTTCTCCCCCCTCTCTGTTCTTTAAATCCATTAGAATTGATAGACTTAAACACAGAAGCTGTGCTTGAAATGCACTGATCTAAAGCAAGACTGCTATTATGGAGGAATAATAAAAAGTCTAATCATGCAAAGCCAGATGTAACCCTTTGGATGTTTGAAAGGGGAGAAGGTGTCTATATAGTTCCATTAAATCAATTTCTTTTTTTTTACTACTTAAAAAATAAATGATAAAGCATCCTCCAGATTACTATGGTGATCTGAAAAGTTGTGTAACTGCTGATAGTGTGTATTTACTTAGGCAAATTGAGCTGATTGGTTCCTTTTGTGTTTCTGTTATACTTTTGACATTGATTTTCCTCCATTTAAATATTTCTCTTGCAATTTTTCCCTTCTAAATGTTTTCCATTCATCCTGTAAATGATTGTAACCTCTCCTTGAGCTCTGCCAGTTCATTAGGATTTCTTGAAATTCCCAAATTAAAATTCTTTAGGGGAAAAAAGCAAAACAGTACCTTATGAAGTGTTCAGTCAAAATGAAACTACCCCAATTGGCAGATACTTCCACTTTGATATTTTTATCACAGGCATATGCTCCTAGTTCTCCTAGTTTCCCTCTGCCACCAGTTCTCTCTCTCTCTCTCTCTCCCCCCAAAATAAAAAAAGAAAAGGAAAAAGAAAAAAAAAAAATAAAAAAAAGAAGAAGTTAAGGTCAGCCCTTGTATGTTAAAAAAAAGCAGTAATACGATGGTCACAGAGAGATTTGGGAGATCTGGTAGTGTGTGACACAATAAACATAATAAAGGAGCATTATAAGACATAATAAACTTTTAAGTCTTCCACTGCCTCCTTCTTTGGTGAGATGAAACTCGAGTTGTGCTTAAACCATTTCAGGCTCCCTGGTCTGCTGCAGGCTGGGTTAGGGCAGCCTGAGCCCCGACCTTGCTGGCTGCACAAGGCCAGCTCAGTCATGCCCTGGCCAGAAGGTGACACTGAGGCTTCCCACCGCCCAAAAAAAGAGAATGTGACCATTTTGCATGCCGGACAGCAGGCAGCTGATAGTGGTCAGACAGACACAACCAGTTCTAAATTACCCTGGTACAAAATGCCTTCTTTGCTCAAAGGCCAGAGCATCAGTGACCCCTCATTTAGGAGAAACCCAGAGTCATCTCCTGCCTCCCTCCCTGCCTCAGCCAGGTGAAGCTCCTGGCTCAGCCCGTGGGGCTGAATCTGTTGATCAGTTTATCCAGTCAGGCCTCAAATTCAGACTTTGGAATTTTACATCCTCCCCTAGGCAATGCTTCCAACAGTTTTGCTTTGTCTCAGAGGGTGTGGGGAGGATAAACACATCAGAGACAGCTGATGGTGAGATTGCAGGTGCAGATCTGGGGCAGCAGGGTGGAGGACAACTGGGGGTTACAGATGTTCCACCTCTCTTAAAACCAGCAGGGCACAGGGTGTTTCTCACCTGATACACATATCTGAGCAATTCTGCAGAGATAAGGCTTTTATCCAGCTCTGTAAACTTTGGGTCCTCTATTGATTTAACTACAGGAGGTGGGCAATATGCTTGTAATGGAAAACTAAATTCAGTTGTTTCTTTGTGGAACTGAGCAAACTTTCTTATTTTTTATTTTTTTTTTTAGCACGGAAAGCAAGTAAAAAGAGATTGGTCAACGTCTTTCTTTCCTCCCAGAAGTTTGTAAACAACTGTTATGGATGTTAATCCCTCGTTTGAGGCTGGGGAGGGTATCAGTAGTTGCAGCACACTGCCTTTTTCCTCTTTACCCCATTGCCACATTTGCTGGTTTTAGAGCTACATTCACCTATTTTCCCATGTAAACTTCTCACTGAATATTTAGTATAGTGCAAATATATTGTTGATCAGGCTTGAATTAAGAAAGGCTTCAAGCTTAGCCTGCAAATAAAACATAAATCAAAATGCCCTGACCTCTCCTGACACATTGACAAGCCAAGTTTGTGTCCTTGTCACATCCTGTTGCAGGCCAAGGTGAGAAAGAGGCAGATGCTCTGTCTTTATACCCCAGTGCACCAAGGTGTTCAGGGTCTTACTCTGTTCATCCCGCAATTCCACAAACTATGTCTACTTCAAGAATTTTATCTCTAACAAGTACATCTTATACTTTCCATAGATACATTTTTCACTGTCTTCCCACAGAAAATGCTCCTTTATTTCTGCCAACATAGCCACACAAAAACTATACTGTAGGAGTAGATATTCCTTTCCCTTTTGCACTTATTGTGGTTATTTCTATTTTTTTAATCACAAATTCTTGTGTCTGGAACGAAAGCCATGTCTCCATTTTGCAGGACCTTGCTGGAACTTTGCCAGCTTTTCCTACAACAGTGAGGACAGCAACTATAAGCTTTCTAAAAATAAAACTACGAGATCAAGTTTAGCACAGAGGAACTTGCGACAGGCAATGGATTTTCCAAAACAGCTTCACGTGTTTCATACAGCATGTAGCTATAGTAGGAGAAAACAAATAAAACAGAAACAGAAACTCACTGTAAAATTATTTTAACTCTTATGCTTAGATAGAGGACTCCAGCCCAGCTTTTAGCCAAATGTTTTTTCTGTTAGGGATAAGGACTTTGTATTCAAAACTTTTATTTTTATGCTTTGAGTAAAGAAATTTCCTATGATCTTCAGCTTGTTTGCCAGGAAACCACCAGCACATCTGTGAAATATTACTTAAGAAAATTTATTACAGCTAGCCAGAAGGCAACAACCCCCAAAATTTTCTCTACCTGCTGAAATCCAGCCTATTGTGTAATTTGGGTCTTTCATGCCTTAACATGTTACCCCAGTGAGAACTTATTGGTTCTCAGTTAATATGATAAAGAAGTACATGCTTTTTGAGTAATGTTAAAGTAAAACAAAAAAAGAAATATATATCTATATATATATATCTATATATATAGATATATACATACCTTTGAAAACAGCATTCCTGTATACACACATACACAAAAGGATCTCTAAGCAATGTCATCATCCTTAGTTTAGACAGCTGTGGAATCAAAAAAGTTCCAGATCAGCTAACTACAAACATTTGAAGGTCAAGTACAGGACAAAGTGTTTAAAAAAGCAAAAGCAGTTATGGCTACTGAGCATTAGAAAGATGATTTTATGTAATGAGATTTTTTTTCTCCCCCAGCTCTTTCCATACCAGAATCCTATTGGACTGAAAACTTCATAGTGTTGGGCAGGATAATAAACCAAGTATAGTAAGCAGTTTGGGTTCGTTATTTAATCTTCTTTCAAGGCTGTTATCTCACTCAAAATATTTTAGGAGCCAAGGAAGGTCTGCCAGAGCACAACCTTTTAGTCAGGGTGCCCAGAAGCCTGGTTATCAGGCAATAATAGAGAAATAAATAACCTTCTAGCATCTTCCCAATACATATTTTCTGTTGCTCTTTCATACAAAGCAATATTAAGTTATTTGAAAGAAATCTTGGTCTTTTACCAGGAAAACCTCACTCTCCCTGGGGAGCCTGTTGCTAAACAAAAGCTCAGTTTTAAAGAGTGGTCTCCAACTTCAGGGCTGCTGTTGGGGGCTGATAAAGACTCTTCTCCAGACTGTCTCATGCTGTCCCTCCCCATCAGCCTTGCCACCCCCCTGCTTCTCCTCCCAGTCCCTAATGCCTCGCCTTTTAAGCAATGGAGTGACTAATTGAAAATGCATTCCAGTGCTTTACAAGCAGCTTTTTCTTTCTTGCTGACCAGCCAAATGTTTTAAAGTTGGCAAGATGCTGCTTTAACTTGGGAACTTGAGCACTGGATCATGGCCTGGATGTGTGAAAATATTCTGGCTGAATTAAATAATTTTGATGGAAAAAAATAATTAAAGATCTTACTCTTAGAACTTAGAACTGGTATAAGTAAGTCCAAGTATTATTATGAATATTTAAAAGCTAGTCCATTCTTTCTTGGTGAAGTATATAATTTGGGAGAAAAGAAATTTCAAGTCCCAAGTCTAAGAAATTCTCAAAGTCATGCACTGGTGCTTGTACAGAACCAGAGGAAAAGCAGTCACAAACAGGCATAAATCCAGCTGACAATTACTCTTTGGGAATTGGGAACTGTAACCAAAACACCCTGGAGACAGCAATCGCTGATTCACTGCAGGTCAATGGCCAACTGGGCTGGGATTCAGCACATCTTATCACACACTGTAACTTAGAAGTTGGCTTCATCCAGCAGCTGCAGAGATTGAAGGGTTTTGTTTCCTTGCTGATTGTACAAAGCCCGCACTTTAACAGTTAATCATTAATCTTAAATTGCATAAATGTGTCTCATACTTATCGACTTCTCACTTTTACAGTCTGCAGAGACAAACTTTCAAGAGATGGTATTTTTTTTTTTTTTAATCCTGATTGTGTTTTTAATGGATTTTCAAGTACTTTC